CAACACATATCATATTACTCCTCACTCAAAACCCTCTAATTGCATCCTAACATACCTAGAATAAAATCTCCAATCCTTACCATGGTCTACATGGTCCTACATGTGCTGACTTCCGCTTTCTCCAACCTGCTTTCAAATGTTCTCCTCGATCACTCCACCCCAGATATCCAGGGCATTCTTGCCATGTCCCAAACATGAAAAGCTTCTTGTATTTGCCATTCTCTGTATATTCCTCCAGAATTTACATGGTCCATTCCCTCACTTCACTCAGGCTTCTGCTCACATGTCACCTCTTCAAAGAGGCCTTCCCAGGCACCCTATGTGAATTGACTGTACCCTTCATGGAGAAGAGAATTAAAAATTAAGAACTGGGGAACTGGCTGCCCACAAGACTGTCTGAGAAATGAGTAAGTATGCAGTGTGAAGATGGGTGGTGTTCTGAGTGAGCAAGACCACACTGTTAATTACTGAGACACGACCTCCTTCATAACAGCCCAAGTTTTCAAACTTGAAAAGGACAGATTTTGATGTTCTTATTTCCACAGAATGCTCCAAACAAGGCCACCCTATTTATTAATATTTTCCAGAACACAAAGCAGAGTGAGGAAGATGTGTTAACTGGTCAGAATGAAGTAATAACTCAAACCAAAATCTGGGGTGGACTATGTATCAAAAAGAGATTACTTGGAGGTTTCTGCTTTCAGGATGGCTGAAGAAGCTCCTACCAGACCCAAACCTCCTGCAGATGGTAACTATAAACTCTGGACAAAAATACCAAGAAAGCAATTAGCTGAAGGCACTGGACAGCGAGCAGAAGGTGGCAAATTCCAGAGAGGAGCTGAAATTAAGGAAGGAATTACCAACATGAGTAGAATCACCGTTGCCTTTACCCTGACAGTAGGCCACAGTCAGCACCATGCACAACAGCTAAACTCACATACAACATCCAAGTCTTTCTGGACTGAAGAAGAGGAGGGAAGAGTCTGGGACAAAAACAGCCCTCGGAAAGAAAGGAGATTCCAGAAAAGAGAGAGCCAGATAGAGGGAGCTCCAAGTTCTATGTATAAACTACCCAGTCTCTGGCCCACCTCTAAACCATGTGTGCATGCTTGGTGCTGTCTATAAGGAGACCAACAAAAGATAAAAGGATTGAACTAACATTTGAGTTGTTGCTCAAGAGACAGAACTTGCAGTCTGAGTCCAACAGAATAAATTGCTTGTGAAAACTAAAATATCAGTACTTTTCAGAGAAATAAAACAAAATCCACGGTCTTCACAATATAATATTCACACTGTACAAAACTGTGATGTACCAAGAACCAGAAAAACATGACCCTCAAGAAAAAGAAAATCAGTTAAAACAAATCCACCAAGTGACCTATATGTTGGAATTAGCAGACAAAGATGCTAAAGTAGCTATTATAACTATGTACAATAAAGTATACTCAGAATGGGGAAAAAAAAAAAAGAGAGGAAATCTCAGCAGAGAAACAGAAACTATTATTTTAAAAACATGGATATTCTGGAACTGGAAAATACATTTGCAATTTAAAATTAAATGGATGAGCTTAACTGTAGAGATGACACAAAAGTCTGTGAAGTTGATGATAAATCAAGAGAAATTATCAAAACTACAGAATAGAAAAAAAAGGTTTAAAAAAATGAACAGATACTGAGAACTGTGGGACAAAATCAAAATGTTTAATATACATATAATGAAGCCCCCAAAGGAGAGGGGAGAAAGAATGGAAAAGAAAAAAATATCTGAATAAATAATGAAGTAAAAATTTCCCAATATATGATGAAAAAAAAATTGACAGATTTAAGCAGCTTAGTGAATCCCAGTCAGAACACAAATCAAAAAAAACCATACCAAGGCATATCATATTCAAACCGCTGAAAACCAAATAGAAAAAGTCTTAAAAGCAGCCAGAGAAAAAAGAACATATTCCATATGGGGAAACAAAAATTTGAAAACCACTGACATACCATCAGAAACAAGGGAGACCTGAAAACAGTGGAACATCTTTAAGATGCAATGGAAGTGGTCGTACCCAACCCAGTAAGTTTTTGGAAGGACTAGCTTTCAAATCCCTTGGCATAATACTTCTCTCCACTTGACTTCCATTAGATAGTCTTTGTTGTTATGCTCCCAGAGCTAAGGAATCTGATTCAACTGTTTACAAAACAGGCAAGAGACAGAGCAGTCACCCACCATCACCACGTCTGTTCAGCAGCCCCACACCATTCTGAAGAGACAGCTACTTCAACTAAAGGCACTTCCCCCATCTCTCCGGGTAGAGTCCAGTCACCTTGCCCAGGCCCTATCCCATCTGAACTGAAGAGAATTAAAGCATTCGGGGCAAAAGTATCCAAGGATGGTGGCAGTAAAGATCACATTTACTCTAAGCCGTTTCCAATGTAGTTTCCCCTTTGTTATCTAAATAACAGACAAGAATGAGGAATTTTAATATACAAATACCAGTAGGCACCCCTAAGACAATCCCTCTCTACTAAAAACCTAGGGCTCAATAGATTTCATAACCCACAAATACCTAACATTTATGCCTAATGCTTAGATGAGAACCTGAGCACAAGAGAAGCACAAATTGCCCATCATTTTCTGAAATGGTATGTGGGTTCCTGGGTTGATTCAAATATGCTGATTTCAAATCATTTTCCCTGAAGGACTGGAATCTGAGAGATCGCCTGGGAATCACCCTACTGCTAATTTTAGAAAGACCTATTAATTATAACATAATGGATAGGGTACATCTGCATCCCAGGTAGGAAAACTACTCCACAAGGCTTACTCTCTAAGCCTCAGTTTCCACAGATATAAATAGTGCCATTTCATAATAGTGCCATTTCTCCAGAGGGGAGAGAGCTGCCGGTCCCTCCTAGTCTCAATACCTGGTAATGTTGGCTCTATGCCCAAGAGGCCAGCAATTAAACCACTGCCCAAAAAAACCTGCTTCTCTTAAATAGAAAGCACAGTCAAAATATTTAGAGAATACAGTGAATTCTCCAGCTTGAAACTGTTTCCTCTTTTTCAGAAGAACTAGAAAAAACTGGTATCGCTAATATGAGCAAGCTATTCAGAATGGCCTCCCATTTGGAAAGTTTCTGGCATTTTCCAACTAGGCATTGTATTATTGCAATGAGCTGCCCAGTAATCAAAGAGGACTACTTATTTCCCACCAGAGTTAAAAGAAAGGATTAGTTCTGGTAAGTTCTCTAACAAATTTCAGTCATTGTTAACAAGGTGGCATCGGCTTCTCTACATCCCTACCAAATTCTAAGAAAACTCAGGAAAAAATGGAAAACAAAGGCTGCTTTATTATTCTATTTGAGCAGCATCCACCTTTCACAGAACAAATTTTTTTTTTCCTTTTAATTTCAGTGACATTTAAAAAGTTGTAACAGAGAAAGAAAAAAGTGAAATTTATTTGGAAAGAAACCTATAAAGAAATCTTCCCATTCACAACACTTTTCTTAATATACAAGATAAATTCTGGGATCAAAAGTTTTTAGAACCCTACATAGTCTGAAGAGACTCAGATTATAAATTCAATTAAAAAAAAGACTAGCAGCGATAGAAAATTTAAAACAAAGATTTATATAGGAGAAGCAGTAACAGCTATGACACAAGGGGAAATTATGCAGAGGATAGAAGTGAGTTAAAGTTGTCCATAACATGGGCAGCGTATCCATACTTATCTTCTTGGACATGAAGGGGTAAGTAGGAATCAAACGATTATTGGGTACCTTTCTAGATCCCTTACTTGTATTATTTTATTTTCCTCTCTAATCCTTAAATCAAAGAAGTTAATTAACTCATCAAAGATCACAAAATTGACTACTTAATCCCAGGTCTTTATTACTCCCAAACTCATACCATCCTATTATGCCATGCTGCTGCCCAGAAAATATTTCACATGAATCAGTTTCTTGCTGATAGAATTTTAAAAACCAGTCTAGCACAAACATTCCCCTTCTAAATGGATTCTTCCTAAAAACTACACTAATTTTCTTAAGCAAGCTTCTAGCAATGCAGGGCCCATCGGAACTTCTGCCTGTCTTTGCTACCCTTTTCTGGAAAGTATCTATGCCACAGGGTAACTAGTGGCAGTTTGTTTGCTTATGACTTGCTCTAAGGCCTCACATTTAAGATAAATGGGTAATCTTCTGGATTGCCAAATTTATGCCAGAAGGTGGATAAACAAAGTCCTCAGAACTAAAGCCCTATCCTGCATAATTGACTATTATTTTTCCTGTAAAATACGGCATCCAAATCATGACAGATAAGATAAGGTAAAGAATGAGAAAGAACCCGTGAGAGACTATAGAAAAGGTTCAGGATCTCCAACTCCCAAATATTTCAAACCCAACTCCAATCTTCCAAAAAACCTCTACAATATCCTGATAAAGAAACAGATCTTCTTGTTAAATCTGGGTGGTGACTGGAACTAGAACTTCTGGAATCAGACACACTAAAGCTCAGCTCGTCCATGATTTGTCATGATTATGACCTTGGGCAAAAGAGTTAACCTCTCTAAGCCTCAGTTTCCACAGACAGAAAGTGAAGAAACCATAATAACGATGTAAGTTCTATAAATCCTAAATTACGCTGCCTGGGTCATATGCACTTCCTAAGTATTAGCTTTGTCATCATCATTCTCAACATCTTTGTTATGACATGGAAGACATCAATAGGGCAACCAAAGGGCTTTTGTAAACCTTCATGGAGCCAATACTGATTTCAGTTTTGGTGAGTCTTGGGAGATTTAGGAAGGGAATAGCAGAGATGCAACTGACAAGGCCTGAAAGGACCAAAAAAGAAGCAAGCAGAAATTCCACGGGGAAAGGAAATTTGTATAGTTAAAAAAAAAAAAAAAAAAATTATGTCTACAAAGATACACATTATATACATTTGGAAAAGGGATTACGAGTGAAATGCTATCTCATGCAGTAAAACAAACTGCTCATTTTTCTATTACCATGATGGGGACGCCAATGTCGGGCCACAGAAGGTCCTCCGAGGGTAGCTTGGGAGAATTCCATACCACCACTACCTTGTTCAGGTAAGGGAGGCCATTCAGTCTCTCTAGAGAGTTCATAAGCACTTCCTCCCGCTCATAGGTCAACATCACCACTGTGAACTGCTCTCGTGGAACGTTGCCTCCAAGTGCAGCCTGAAACTCCTTGCCAGAACCCCCAGCTCCACCCCCAATAGGCCGAAATCCAGTCCCTGAGCCCAAGAATTTGGCCTCTGAGGGCAACACAGGGTCAAAGGGCGTGTGGGGGAACAGATGGAAAGGCCCCGGAGCAGAGTTCCAGCTGCGGTAAAAATCAGTGACAGTCAAAGTAAAGTTGCGGAGGTATTTGGGTGAGGCATAAGGTGGCTCTGTCTCCACTGGCCCCAGGTCCAGGTCCCCGTTGTCGGCCATGTTAGGGTCAGTTCCAGCCGCCTTGCCTGACCGATGGGGGATCTCAGCTGCCGCCTCTTCCCGGATGGGAGCAGCTGGGATCTGTATGCGAGTCCTAATCATAGCCAGCACGGTATTAAAAATACTGTCAGCGGTTGAGAAGTAAGTCTCCCAGAGAAAGCGGCCTTGCCGCCGCATGGCCAGCAGATCACTGTCCGAGAGGCTTCGTAACAGAAAATGAACCTCGGTCACACGCGGCTTGGGCACCACCAGGGCTGCCTCATTCCACTGCAGCATGCCCTGGTAAGGAAGCTGTACTTGCTCCCCTAGCAGAACTGGGACAGCACCGACTTCCAGGGCTTCAAAGAGCCGTGTCGCACACCCAGATGAAATGACCAAGTGAGGGTCCCCAGGAGTGATAATGAGAGCGAAGGTGGAAAGCTTCAGTAATTCCAAGCGGTCCTCACGCTCACCACACAGTGCCCACTCGGTAGGCAGACTGGCTTTAGGCTGGTTTTTGCAGGTAAATTCTACCAGGACCTGATCTAGCCTGCTGTCCTGTACAGCCTTTAAGGTGGCAATGATACGATCATCGTAGTCGGCTGGAGGGTCACCTTCCACTTCTTCTTCAAAGGAGCGGGCCTCCTGAAGGCTGGATCTCAGTGATTCAATCTTCTCACCCTGGAAGGTGAAAAGATACTTCCGCTTAACTGGCACCTGTGGTGGGATTTCCATGAAGTTGGGCTCCGACATGGCATGCACTAGTGGCGATACGACCAAGTCAAAGCCAGGTCTGTACTGGGAAGCATAGAAAGTAGACTGAGCCACCATGGCACGGCCTGTGCTCACGTTATATAGTAAGTTCTGTGTATCTGACTTCCGCGACAGATTGATGATGACATGGTTGTGTCCATCTGTCCGCCAATGTGGTAAAGAAGAGAGCTGCTTCTCAAGTTCGGCAGGCCGAAGCACTACTGGCTCTTGTACTTCTCCCACTAATACCACATAAAGGCAGGCAATGTCCGCATTTTCTGTAACATACACGTTGGCTCGTGCTGTAGCCTGAAAAGCCTGCTTGACCAAGGGATCCAGGTAGCTGCCAAAGGCAAACTGGTCACTGTCATATACATAGACTGGAAAACCGGAGGTGAGAGGACAGCGAGAATAATCGAAACAATTGTGCAGCCGGCATCCCCGTATGACCTTTGGGGGAGGAAGACCAGCATCGTCCTTCTCTGGAAGCAATCGGATAGGCAGAGAAAGTTTGGGCTGATTTTGAGCCATCAGCTCTTTATAAGAGTGCTCAGTCTGGCTAATAACATTCTTGAGCTGAAGTAGGTCCTGCTTGGCATTCTCAATACTCTTCTTACAGGCTTCAATCTTCAGATTCAGCTTGGCAATTTCACTGTTCAGCTCCTGCCTCTTGGCTTCCAGCTGCAAGAGCTCCTCACTTACAGACTCACGAATCCGGCAAAGATCCAGCACATGCTTTACCTCACATAGTTCATTACCAGCCCTTGGGCCAAAAATCCGCTTGCCTGCCTCATCAGCCTCATCCAGAGTGGTGAGATAATAGTGAGCAATCAGGGGGAAGAACACCAGAATAATGAAGAGCGTAAAGCTGAGCCATGTGAGTCGTATCCGGTTGGACCACCGTAACATACAGGTTTGACCTCCATTCCCCACTCCCCCATTCCGCAACATGGTATAGCCCGTCATGAGTTCCTGTGTGGCTTTTGCCCCCTCTAATCACGTTGGGTCACTCGCCATAACCGTGAGTTTCTATTAGACAAACTCAATCTCTTTTCACTCACACCTTTCTGTTAAGAGTTAGTGTGCTCCCTGCACAAGGCACGGAATAAAATGGAAATTTCATTTTCCTCAGCTGTAATTGAAATGGTCTCTGACCTTATTCCAGCAGATTTTAAGTTCTGGTTGCTGACCAATGGACATGTCCTTACTCTTTATCGAATGGTAAAAGATACCACATTGTTGATGAGATGAAAAGGAGAAGGTCTCTGATGATGAAACCCAGGAAAAATAAGCTGGAATCAGACAGGCTTTTTCAACTGCCATAGCTCTTGTTCCTTGGTTTTGCTGACCAACAAATACGCATAGTTACTATTCACAGTTATAAAGTAGCTGGTTAGAAGAGAAAGAAATGCCAGCCTCTTATCGATGTCATTGCCAACAATCAGGCCTGCAAAAGAAAGAGAACCATGTCAGTCTTGAAAAGATTATGTCCAACAACCCACCCTCCCTCAGTTTCTAGAAAATGCTTCTATCTTAAAAGGTAAAGGAACAGTTGGAACATTGGGTGTGTGTCTCACAGAACGATTTTAAGTTCAGTTCACGTTGCGTTCAGTATGGGTATTTTCCTTGTGGTTAATTAGAAATGGATAAGGATAAGTGTCTGAAAACAGCTTCAGATTTTACACACACAGACATACATACCCCTTCCTCCTATTTAACTGGATATAGAGCAGAATTAGAGCCTATAACATGAAGATCAACTATATTCAACAGAGTGCAAAGATGTCTGCAACAATTTTTATTCAAGACCAAGGCAGCATCTTTAGATGGAGAGAAACACCATCCTATCTGGCCTTGATAGCCAGGTTTATTCCTAAGATGAGTCTCCTTTTGAATTACTTAAAAAAAAAAAAAAGGACTCTGAGAAGTTCAATGTTTTATATTCAGAGTTGAAACGAGTTGAAGAGAACTCTTTTGATCTTTACCCAGTAGTAGGTGCATTAATCCAGAGACAAAATGTATTTCCCAGTTTGCTTCTCATTTATCTTCTGCTAGCAGACATCATGTGCTCCTTCTTAAAATATAAATAGTAACTTGGTCTTTTAGAAAGACTACTGGGCGCCTGGGTGGCTCAACTGGTTAGGCAACTGCCTTCGGCTCAGGTCATGGTCCCGGAGTCTTGGGATCGAGTCCCACATCGGGGTCCCGGCTCGGCAGGGAAACTGCTTCTCCCTCTGACCCTCTCCCCTCTCATGCTGTTTCTCTCTCTCTCTCTCAAATAAATAAATAAATAAAATCCTTAAAAAAAAAAGAAAAGAAAGAAAGACTACTATACTTAGAAATGAGGGCTATTATTTCTTCTCCTTTGGAGACAGATTTGCTATCAAACCTTATACCTCAGTTTCCTAATCTCCCAAAATGGAGAGAAGTGTACTGAGGCAGAAACAATATATTGTGTTGCTATGACAAGAAAGGACAAAGGATGTGAGGGTACTTTCAGCTAATAAATCTTGAAACAACATTCCCACTCCTGTTCATTTACCAAACTTTACTATCAGCAGCTACAAAAGCTTTTCACTTGCTTTCATCCCAAACTTAACATATGTAGAACTGAATTCCTAATATTCTGTGCCAAAGAATACTCCCAATTTCTTTCATTCACTTCCTCCAAAAAGTATTTACCATACTCTTAACATGTCTAAGACATGTTCAGTATAACTGTGGAAGAAGCTAGAATGCAAAATAATCTTTGACCTTGTGCAACCTCCTTTAACCTAAGATATAAGATATATGCGAACAGCAGGGATACTGCTACAAGGTAGTATAATGTACGTAGCCCATCAACAGGTCTCATTTCACAGAACTCTCTCTAGCTTCTATGTTTGGTAGAGATGTAAAATTATTAAAGTCTGGATATAGTCTTCTCTCCTTTAAATAAAAAATGTTGCCAATATTAATAAAAGGCTTGAGTAAGCAGAACAAGAGATAAGGACAACAAAAAACAAAAACTATTGATCACAAAAAAGCTTAAATTTGATGGATCAAACCTTGGATAAACAGCTAAGCAAATATCCCAGAGAACGTAAGTCAGTATTTCTAAAGCATTATCCTTCTAATACAAATGTTAAAAATCTCTGTTTCCAAAAGAGTACTCTCTGCACCTTACGATCAAATTATAACAAAGAAAGAAGGAAGTGGAGAAAATAAAAGAATGCATAATCAAGGAAATTCAGTTGATTCATTCCCTCCTTCCCATATGTTTCTGGATCCTTCCTTTTTCTAACTCATGCAGCATTTTACTTCAGTATATAATTTCTTGAAATAGTGAACTCCAGGTCCAGGGTTTGCTCTCCTGATAGAAAATAGAAAAGTGACATGCTATTAGAAAAAGACTCAATACTGGGGCGCCTGGGTGGCTCAGTCAGTTAAGCGTCTGCCTTGGGCTCAGGTCATGATCCCGGGGTCCTGGGATGGAGCCCTGTGTTGGGCTCTCTGCTCAGCGGAGAGCCTGCTTCTCCCTCTCCCTCTGCCTACTTGTGCTCTCTCTCTGTCAAATAAATAAATAAAATCTTTAAAAAAAGAAAAGAAAAATACTCAGTACTAAAGATGCTATTAAGGAATGTATTTACTGAAGGGGAAAGATGCCAGAGGAGTAAGAGAACCCTAGGCTTGCCTCATGGTCCTATGAACACAACTAGATAACTACCAAATCATCCCAATACCCCAGAAATTGACCTGAAGACTGGCAGAACAAACTCCACAACTAAAGGTAGAAAAGAAACCACACAAAGAAGGTATGAAGTGCAGAGACACAGTTTGGGAGGGAAATGGATCCTGGTCACTGCAGTGGGCAGGGAGCCACTGTGGCAAAGAAGAGCAAGAGACAGACTAGCACCCACATGTGGAAGACAAATTTCCGTAGCAATGGCTTGGAACTCAAGAGGGGCCAAATTTGATGAGTTCTTGCAAACAGGTCCGCAGGCTTGGCTCAGGGAGAGCCTAGTGGGCATTGGGACTATTCTTGGAGAGAAGGCAGGGCAAACAGCCCATGGACATATAATATGGAAACATCAATCTCAAAAGCGCCTGGGGCACACAGCGGGGAAGTTGTTTGCTCATCCAAATGGCGGTGTTTGCAGAGAGACCTGTCCAGGAATGAAGGAACTGCCCTGCACCACCATCCCCTGCCCCTGCCACTCGGCATGAGCACAGGGTCACCTGAAAAGCCAGCACACCCCTCCCTACCTAACTTGCTTACATCAAGCCATACAGCCCCCGGTGAGCTCCAGTGGAACTGTCCTTCCCAATCAGGCTTGCCTCAATCCCAGCATATTGGGCCCCCGACCCCTAAAGACTGGCACAACCTCCTGCCCACAACACCTCTCCTGACCCGGGAGTTTTGCGGGGCCTCCGTTCAGGCAACACTAGCAACAGGTCTCATTTCACCAGAGCCAACCGGAGCACATTTAGTAAATCTTGTCACATTCAGGCCAGGGACCAAACATTGCTCACAACAGGCAAAGACAGCCTCTGCAGATGATTGGCCTGAAGGATAAAGTAACCAGAACACGACAGCAGAGCGCAGGCAGCACACAATGGAGACACTACGTGAAGTGCCAGGCTCTGGGGAACAGCGGACACTGCACTAAGGGCAGTACGAGACCTCTTCTTCCTAAGGCCATTACTCTCAAGAACAGGAGACATAACTGATCGTCCTGACACAGAGAAACAGGCACAGAGACTTAGAAAAACATGAAATGACAGAGGTATGTGTCCTAGAGGAAAGAGCAGGACAAGGCCACAGCCAGAGATATAAGTGAAACAGATATAAGTAACATGTCTGATAGAGAATTTAAAGTAGTGATCATAAAAATACTCGCTGGGCTTGAGAAAAGAGTGGAAAGCATCAACAGGATGATTAACAGAGATAAGGAATAACACAGCAGAAATAAAGGGCTCAATAAATGAAAGAAGAAGCACACTTGATGGAATGAACAGCAGGCTGGAAGAAGCAAAGGAACAAACTAACAACATAGAAGGCAGAATAACAGAAGTAATCAAGCTGAACAAAAGAGAGAAAAAAAAACTATGCCAAACGAGAAAAGACTTAGGGAACTTAGTGACTCCATCAAACATAAACACATTTATCATAGGGGTCCCAGAAGAAGAAGAAGGAGAGAAAAGGGGGCAGAAAATTTATTTGAAGAAATAAGAGCTGAAAACTTCCCTAATCTGGAGAAGGAAAGATATCCAGATCCAGGAAATACAGAGAACCATGAACAAAATCAACAGAATCGACACCAAGAGATACTGTAATTAAAATGGCAAAATGTAGTGATAAAAATTTTTTTAAACAGCAAGACAAAAGAAGACAGTAACAGAAGGGAAACCCCATAAGGCTTCATTGGATTTTTCAGCAGAAACTGTGAAAGCCTGAGAGAGTGGCATGATATATTCTAAGTACTAAATGGGAAAAATCTCCAGCCAAGAATACTCTATCCAGACAAGAATATTCTATCCAGCAGAGCTATCATTCAGAATAGAAGGGGAGATAAAGAGTTTCTTAGACAAACAAAAACTAAAGGAGTTCATGACCACTAAGCTAGCCCTGTTAGAAATATTAAAGAGGATTCTTTGAGTGGAAAGGAAAGACCAAAAGTGACAGTAGGAAACACAAAAGCAGTAAAAAAAAAAAAAAAAAAAAAAGAATATTTCTGTAAAAATTCAGTTAAGGAACTCACAAAATAAAAGGATGCAAAGTATGACACCATATACCTAAAATGTGGGGAGGAGAGGAGTAAAGAATGGTTCAAACTTAAACAACCATCAACTTATTATAGACTAACATATGCAGAAGATGTTATATATAAACCTAATGGTAAGGATGCCTGGGTGGCTCAGTTGGTAAAGCATCTGACTTCGGCTCAGGTCATGATCCCAGGGTCTTGAGATCAAGTCCCGCACAGGGTTCCCTGCTTCTCCCTCTGCCTGCCCTTTGTGCTCTATCTAACAAATAAATAAATAAAAATCCTTTAAAAGTAAATAAATAAATAAACCTATTGGTAACCACAAATCAAAAACTACTAATATATATACAAAGAATAAAGAGAGAGGAATCCAAATATATCACTAAAGAAAACTAGTAAAACATGAAAGAGAAAGAAAAGGCTCAGAGAAAAACTTCAGAAACAACCACAAAACAAGGACTAAAATGGCAATAAATGCGTATCTATCAACAATTCCTTTTTTTTTAAAGATTTATTTTAGAGAGAGAGGGAGAGACTGCATGGAGTGCACAC